GACGTCGACTTTATTACTGAAGTAATTGCTTTGGTTAGCCTCACTAACCTACACTGTAAAACTTCGTGATTATACGGGGGCTTAAATCCTAATAAAAATTGTGCAGTTACTTCATTTTGTATATTTCTTTTAAAGTCTCGTCACAGCACTTCAGAAACTTCTTTGTCTGTGTCTTGCAGCCTAATTTCTGCATGAAAAAATTTCTATCCAGGAATTGTTCTACTAACTTGCTATCTACTTTCTGTTTTATTAGAACTTGGATCATAGCCGTTTCTATACTGTTGGTAATTCCATATCTTTATATAACCTCCTCTATGAACATTTTTTCACTCTTACTAAATCATCCTGTCACTCAAATGAACTGTGACATGACTTCTTAGCCTACTGGACAGCGTTGTGAGGAAATAAAGGAACTTTTTTTCGTCTTCTTGTTATACTATCGTCGTAAAAACCCTAGTTAATGCCATTTGGCTCAATAAGTCACCAGTCAGTATTTGTATTGCGGATACTTTCTCACTCAACTATCTAATAAAGTAATTTATTTTCTTTAATCACTATTTTTACTAATTTGTGAATCCACCTAGTCGAGTTTCATATCCCTGCGATAGTCTGTATTTTTTTGCATATTCTCCAGCCCTTATTCCCTCATACGATCTCTCTCAAAGCCTGTAGGTTATTGTAGTGGCCTATATATTGTACTACTTCTGTTAAACAATTTTATTCTGTCCTCTTTACCTCCATTATCTGTGAACATCAACAGTGACTCAATGCCATTTCTTACTGTCTTACAACGTCGCCCTTTTGCGGTCAAACAGCTTCTTGCACCTTCTGAAGTTTCCTCCTCTCCCCCACTTTCGTCTTGGTACAGTGAACCTTCACGTACTTCGAAGACCTCATCACTCTTAACTATATTGCTATCACCATTCTTTTTATCTGTTTTACCCTTTAACATTATCATTTTTATGCCTTTGAGGATTTTTTTTTACTAAGTCTTTTGTCTTTTTCTTCGTCTTTCCTAGTTTATTTACGGCTTCGGAGTCATGAAAAAACCTTAACCATGTTTTTTCATACGTTAAAAATTCCGAATCTTGACACCTATTGCCACTTTTCATCACTTTCTCAGCTACAATAATTTCTATTTTCATTTTTTGTATTCATTCATCAATGAGAAAAAAAAAAATTTTAACTTATTTTTGGAGGCTTCAATGTGCCCAACTATATCTAAATTTTTTTTTTTTTACGTATTTACACACTTTCAAACACTACTTTGTAGAATTATGATTTTTTTTATTTGCTTCACTTGTCTAGATCAGGAAGATTATGATTAACACTCTTGTAATAGTGTTGATTCTTTTATTAACAACATGTTGTTTTTAGATAATGTGGCGTAATTTTCTCTCCTTGCTATTCTTCATTTGACTTCCTGTCAATGTTGGCCTCCTAGATGGCTGCCGCACTGTTAGTATTCTTGATCACTTTCCATGTGCATCTACTTCTTACGGCTTGTTTCACATACCACTGGTGAGGAGCATTTTTTTTTACTGTTTGGTGTACTGATTACTCATTAGTATATTAACTTTTGACTGTTCGTTTCACTCACATTAATTTTTTGTAATTTTAAAACATTGCACTATGGGTGCTTCCTGACGACGAAAAGAAAAATAGTAGTTTTCCTACGAGTTTCAAAAGTTTCTGTTTGCGAACCGAGAGGTTTGCGGCCCGAGCCAAAGGCGAGGGACGTAACGAGGTTCGTAAAGGAGACTTTTTGAAAGAGTTCCGGAAAACTGCTTTTTCGCCCGAGGAAGTACCAGCCTCCCAAAACCACCCGAGTGCGGAAAAAGAAATTTTTTTTTTTGTTGCGTATCAACTTACATTCGGGTTCGAGAGCCAAAAATGAATAGTTAAGTAAACCCAACGTTCTGTTAATAGAAATTATGGAGCTTCAAGGTGTGGGAAAATTAAATTCTCACGAGTTAAGATAGCGTAACTTTTATTCGTGCTAAAACAATGGAGCACAAGTATGAAAGGCATTAGATTTTATATTTGACGGAAAGGGAGCCTAACTCAGACTGCCTGCCACTGCATAGACGGTTAACTTAGTGGTGTCTATTGCCTATGCTCCACGAGCTCTGCATTTAGGGTGCCAACTTGCATGGTCTTTCTCTTTCGTACGTCTCAGTACTACTCATAGATAAGAAATAAGAATTTTTACGGGTTTCAATAGAGAAAAGATAACGTTAAGGTGCATAAATAAAAAAGAGTTGGCTGATATCTCACTAATATATAAATCAAAATCCCAAAAAATTTTTTTATCGCTAACCACAAAACTACTTAACAAATTTTGCTGAAGTCTTGCTTACTGATTCTTGACACTTTCTATACGATTCTCGCATGAACTCTTTTTTTTTTTTTAATTGATAATGATTGCTAGCAATAAGCTCGAAGTCTTATAAAAAACTATCTTTATGCTTTCGTTTCGTACTGTTCAATGGAAGCGCCGCAGTAAAATCTAGGCCACCTGTAATAGAAGTCGGTAAGTCCGGTAGAAACATTATTAAGCAGAATATCAATTATCATAGTCGTTCAGTGGTAGTACTCTAACAGTCTGCAATGGACAAGCAACCTACGTTAATATTTACCTTCGATACACATTGTCACTTAACTGAGGTCCAAGAAAAAAAGGTACTTTGAACGCCAACTTCTTTGGTGTAACACCAGAAGACTTTGGGAAAAAGCACTAAAATTAGCTCTAAAGCTTAAGAGCATTGTGGTTATTGTCCTGAAAAATTTAGTGCTACAACAGCAGGCCATAGTTGATCACTCTAACGTATCCATGCAGTAATGTTTGCTTTTAGATCACCAGACCTTTTTAGGGCCATCTAACATCAAACTACTTAGTCAAAAAACTAATATTTTACATCTTAACAAAGTTAACAAAGAATACCTCTCTTAGAACTCATATAGTTTCTAACAATGCCTAGAGTTGCAAGAAGGCGAATTGGAAGGAAAACTTCAAATGCTTTAAATTTATATAATTGTCGGCGTCAAAAAACTGACGCAGAACACTTATCAAGATTGAACCAGCAGCGTCAAAATCGACGAATAAACAATCCATTAAGTGTCAGATCAGCTTTTCATTATAACTCTGACATTGATTACTAAAATCTTTCAGTATTTAAATAGGCGGAATAGTACGTATTTGTTTTTATTGTGGCGCTAAAAAGTGGAGCAGTGAGGCTCCAGAACATTGTGGCTCTGGTAGAAAAGTTTTGTCATTAAAAAAAAAATTTTTTTTAGTATATTTTTTATAAGTTTTTGATGTATACAACCTTAATGAATATCACTTTCAGTATATTCTAACGTAAAAAAGAAAAAGTCAACGGCTCTAAGGCCAACAACTATTACATGTCTTAAAGAATGCACAGTACTTATCAGAATATTTTTTAAACTTCTTTACAGCTCATTATTTGACAAAAACTACATAGATTCTAAACAAAAAATTTTTAACTAGAATTTTTTTTTTCTGAGAGGTGTTAAAGATAGACATAATATTTTAAACCTAAAACGTTTGACATTACGTATGCACACTTGAAGGAGTTACTCCACTCAATAAATTTTGGGTAAAGCCCAACAGCTTGTTCAAGCTAAGTTCGAAAATAACCTTAAAAACTTTAAATTGGCTGTATCTCTATGAAATAGAGAGTATATTATAGCACCTTTTTTATATAAATATAAACAGGCGTTGATCAATAAATAATAATTTTATAAAAATATATTCTACAAATAAAGAAAACGCCTATATCACAAAGAAAAAGTAAAATAAGCCAAAAGCCATTATTAACGAGATTCAATTTTTATAACATCGAGCCTAGTAACAGAGCGTTTTAAATATCCAACTATGTCAGGGGTCGCAAGATCCACAACTTAGTTTTTAGCGACAACTAATACTCAGGAGAAGTACTTTTAAAACTTATTGTTTTTGTGTAAAAAAATTTTAGTAAAAAAAATTTCGATCACAGACCTTGGCATCAGGGGTGTATGTATGTAAGTATATGCATGATCAAGTTGTTTGATACACTCATGCAGTTTTTTCTGTGCAGCTGTTTGAGATTTAACTGGTTTATATATCAAAATTGTTTTTTCTTTTCAAGAAAGGGTCAAAGTTAAAAATTTTTTTTTCAAAATCGAAGCGTTCAGTATTTTTGACAACATCTGTTTGGAATTTTAGGTCTACTTTAATTTTATCAGGACAGCTTTAAACATTTTAAAATTAATTATGGTTTTGTGGCGTCCTTTTTAAGTCTACGACAAAAACCTTGCGCATGCCTTCAAACTGCTCTCAGAACTATTTAATACTTAATTTTTATGGAGTTTTTTTTAAAAATGTTGAGATTATGAATGCTCAAAAATTGAAATTCTAATTAACGATTTTTCCACATTTTTGCACTATGACTTTACAAAAAAACGGTTTGCGATAATCAAACTAACACATATCGACAGATAACCAAATAAGAAACAAATTATTTTGGTCATTTTTTAAATATATCTTTAAGAAAAAAAGCTACAACTTAAAGAATTCAAAAAAATTAGTTGTTTTTTGGTATTTGTATAATAAAAACTTAAGCTTAAATTTTCGTTGGACAAAACTTTTTTTTCATAATAATAGGATCATGTTTCAAGGCACTTATAATAAGTTCCGCGTTATTACCTATTTTTGACCTTATTAAATGCCTTGCATGCCAGTTTATTAGTTCTTTAAGCACAAAACTATTAAAATTAAGTATTCTTTGTTTTTTTTTTATTATGGGATACAAAGCGTCTGTTTTACGGAAATTTACTCAACTCTTTAATCACCTTGATGTCCCCCTTTGAATTATATCCCAGCTAGGTCCGTAGGTTTTTTTTATAAAGTATTTTTTAAGAACAATTTCACAGTATGACTTAAAATCAAACACTAAAATATACATATAAATAATCAAATAACATGTACAAATACATACTGCAAGATCCACAAGATGCAGTTTACCCATTTTTACATGTTGTTGATCATCTTTACCAACTTGGCTTGACTCTATAGTAATTGTAAAAATTACATGAGATCGAGAGCTGCATGTGTTAATCGCTGTTGCGCCAGTTATTCGATTTCTATTTCCAATACTCATTATTTTATCTAAATCATCTGCATTATTGACAACATAACCACTAAGATCTTTTACGTAAACACCAACATCAGGCCGTTCTTTTAAATCAAGTTTTTGATTTTGATCTTTATTAAGAAGATCTCTAATTTCTTCATTATATATTTCTAAATAAGTTGCACGAACTAAAAATCTAGAAAGAAAAATGTTCATAAATAAAAATTATGTTTAAAATTTTAATTTATTTTACAAACCATAAATGAGCTTAAGTTACGGTTGTGCATAAAATCATGTTTTTAGTACCACCAAAAAAAGGTGGTCTTATATTATATCAACAAGTGGTATTCCTATTTTTCTTCAAAATAAGGTAACGATCATACATACGTTTGCTACTGACTCGAAAGCTCTGTTTTCATATGATGGCAGTAGTTATAGAAATAGAAGATCTGATTATCTTCTCTCAGCTATGACTGCAGCGTAAAGTTCCGGGGGTATTTTTATAATACAGCATGTTTTTCAGAAAAAAGTTAATATGGTAGAACTTTTTTATATGGATCGGACATTTTACGTCAAAGGGTGCAGAAGGATGCCCAGATGGAGATTTTTTTATTTTAATAAACGAGATTTTGAAATCTTTGTGTAAGTGAATATTGCTAAAAGTCGCCTAGTGATTTGGAAAAAAAAAATATAACGACTTCTGTATGAAGTTTTGAATCTTCAAAAATGTGGTTTACAAATATTATGTGCCAATAAAAAATATAGAGCTAGCATTTTATAAATTGATTCTCTGTTTCTTTGAGGTTTCAACATCAGTAAACTTCAATCTAATATTTCTTAAATTCTACGTGGCGAGTATTTGTCGCCTCTAACTCGAAAAATATCTTGAAACGTTGAATCACTCAATTTTACAAGTTACATTGTCTTACCACTTTGATATAAAGTTTTGGAGATCACGAAAACTGTTGATGTCTCTGAAACTAAGGTCATTAAAATATCCGTAATTTTGGCTGAGAAAAATTCAATGCTTATCTCAGAAACACTCCGAATTGCTGAGTTTAAACGTATAGAAATGAAATCGCACATTGTTTCCTTTTAAATCTTTAAGTTGTTATTGCAAATCTCATTATCCTTCTGCCTTCAATTAATTATGAGTCGTTTCTTGCCTCAATTAACTTTTTAGGTTAAATTGTAAGATTTTAACTTCAAATAGATCAAATTCCTCACTTCCTCACATAATACATTTATAGTAAAAGGAATGTGAATTAATATTTATACACCGTGTTCATTCTCCGTTCAAAAATGCTTAATAAAACTATATAAAACTTTCCTACCTCTTTGTAGTGATTGCAATGAGTTCAAAGTCTAAGTATTGTTTCACTATCTTGCAACGGTCCACTTTTATTGAGGGTGGTTTGAGGCTTAGTAATGGCGGACAGAGGAGTTTAGGATAGAGGCAACTGAATAATGTGAAAACTCAATGGGAATTTTGACTAACTTCGCAATATTTATTCAAACTTAAACGACGAAAGAAAAACAAAATACACATCGTATTCTCAGCTTCAATGCTCGATTATTTATTTTAATAATCAAAACTCATTTCCGATGGTTGGCAGAACAATAATTAACGCCACATAAAAATAAACTTTGTATGTTTCAAGAATTAAAGAAAAAGTTATACAAATAAAAAAAAAACCTTGTATATTCACCAAATAAATTTATGAAAGGTCATCGCATGATCAGATCAAGTAATCAAATTCAGACTTTAAAAATTGTAACAACGAATCGCACCACCTTGGAAGAAAAATCTATAATTGATTCATGAACACTTTTGTGGAATCTTCCCGATGTATCGCCGTTCGCAACTACGTGATCCTTCTCGGTTAAACTTGTTTTTCTCGAAGTTAGGTTAAAAACTATTTACTAACGAGAACTCAAAACACAACTCTATTAACACAAAAACAAAAATAACAAAGAGTAAGGTAATCATACGTCTGAAATTATTATAGATTAAAGTAACATCATCGAAATGCACCGCGGCTCATACTCTACAGTTTTGATAGATGGAAACTGTATATTCAAATCAAAAGAAAAGAAAAATCCAGAGGCAGCGTACACATACAGCCCGTGCCACTGTGCAGATCACAACAAGAGAGCGTCGTTTACCCAATCAAAAACTCATCAAGAAAAAATAAAATTGGTTCCCAACAAACGAAATTTCCCCAAGAATGATAAATAAACGGTCGGAAGGTCACCTCTCGGTTGACTTAACAGCCGGGGATTTCAACCTACCAACTAAATGGTCTCAGTATGTGAGATCAACGCTTATCATTCATTATTCAAAAAATTGAAAAAATACTTCGCTCCTACCAGCGACTCGAATAATAATTCCTAAAGAAACGCGACGTCCGATAAAGAAAAAAATACAAGGAAACACCGGGGATCTTGCTCAAAGCCAAACCACTGCGCACCGAGAAACTTAACACACACAGAAAATAGCCCTCCTTTGTGACCGGTCGCCGACTCAGGACCACCACTTGGTTGAATGAATTAAGCAACCAGGGAGATTTTATGTCCTGAGTCTGAACTCATCAACAAAAGTTGATGAGAAGACGATGTCAGTAGACAAAGGGCACACTTACTATTTTTCGATCGTGCAGCAGTGTGTAGCGATGCTGTTAGCTTCTTTTTGGAGAGTTCCGGCGGCAAACGAGAAGTGCTGGCTGTCCCCCACGGGTCCTTCGTTGATGGCTGTGTCATCCTCTTGGGCTTACCGACTCCAACTACCTACCCGAGCTCTTTTTAGAGAGCTCCTCTCTAGCGAGGGCCCACTCCAAGACCGATACCTAACGCCGCCGTCATGATGCGCGTTCCTTACCAACTCAATTCTCGCGCATTCCCCATGCTAGATTGTCCCCCAACGCTCTCGTGCACACACACATAAGACACCTCTATATATGTACTCTCAATCTATTGTATGTCCCCGGCTTCCCATATGTATATTCCTTGAATTTTGACATTTCAAAACACAATATATTTTTTATTCAAGTCCGTAAACTTGTGACTTCTTTTTATATTAAGGTATTGAAATTTCAATAACAAACTGTCTGATATTACATTAAGCAACGATATGGAGTATGGGAAAAATCGAGAGACAAAAAAAAAACAAATTGTCATGCAAAAAAAAAGTAATGCAGGCATTTACTAGACATCAAGATAGCTTCAATCCTGTTGAAGGCCGAGATACTATTTTTGAGTTTTTATATGTAATGAAGCGTCTCTGTGTACAATTTTGAATTTTACTTTATAAAAAATCGTTCTTCTTACTTTTATTCAACAGACTTAAAAATTGAAATAATTTTATCAGAAAAGTCATCATACGTATCGGTCATTCATAAATGACAGTTATTCAGAATTTTAGCAGCCTAAGATTGCATAAGTAACGAGTTATCGTAAATTTATGCTTTAGCGATAATACTAATAACCATACAGTAAATTTGTGCACTACCGGCACACCGTTGTTATAACTATAAAAATGTTAAATAAGTATCGCATAAAGCCTGAGCACTGTGGGTAAAGATGAATTTTCATTCCATTCAGTATAATGTATTATGTATGGGACTGTGTGATTTTGAAGGTCACGTATTGTAATATTCACAAAATTTTGTGATGCTTATAATGGCTATCTAGAATATATCAGATCAAATAATATAGAAAAAAAATCAAATTGACAGACTGGACAACAATGATATCAAAATTCCAGTGAATAATTCAATGGTAATAGCTTATAGTAAATTTTTGTTACTGAAACGCGATTGTTACATAAATGTCGAGTGCTGCACATCTATCAACAGCATCAAATATATTTTTGATTATATTCATAAAAGCAGTGGTAGGGCTTAGTGTGAGTTACAAAAAAAATTAGGGAACTCATGGAGAAATATTTGATAAAATCTTACAACATATTAATGGTTGTTATTCAAGTCCCATGGAAGCAGCACGAAAACTTCAAGAATTTTCTTCATGTGGTAGAATTTATCCAGTATTTTATTTCCCCTTTTGCATTGAGAACAATAAAAAAAAGGTTTTCAAAGAAAGTACAACAATAAAATTAAATGAAAATTGGAAAAGACCGCTAACTGCATGGTTTGAATTAAACAAAATTGATTTTTTTACTAACTCAGTAAGCTACACTAATATTACTAAACTTTACACATTTAATAGTTAAACGGAACAATGGAATAGACGTAAACGTTTATAAAAATTTTTTGCTATTGGAAGGTAAAATGTTGTTCTTCCTTCAAGTCGATAATGACATTGTAGTTTGCAAAATGAAATTTGATAAAATATTTCGACTATTCAATGGAGGTCAAAAGCTTATTTTCCAACAAATAATTAAGTTTGATAGAAAATTATTTTTTCATTGATGGTCCTGATGGTTCTGAAAAAACTTGTTTACGTAATACATTAATTCACTAACCTATTTCAATAGACAGAAACATTTTATCTATAGCTTGGACAGATATTGCTTCCATTTTTAAAACTTTTATTTTATTGACAAGCCACAAAACTTTTAGACTGCCATTAGATTTGATCTCTTTCTACAGTGCATTTTTAGAATTTCAATCACATGAAAAAAATTGCGTTGAGCCAACATTACTATTTGGAGTAAAGCTTCGATGATACCTAAAAAAGCATTAGCAATCGTTAACGGAACTTTAAGAAACTTCTATATTAGCAATGAAGCTTTTAAAAATTAATTAATAGTTTAAGGGGAAGATTTTCATCAAATACTTCCAGTTTTAAGAAATTCAAACAAAAATTTTATTGTAGAGAAAATAAGAAAGTATTTAAATATTTGGTATGCAATTTACGTATAACGTTTGAACATACACATTTTTTCATTGATAAGAAATGTCCATCTTTGCTATCAGATATTGGAGATGGAACATTAAATCTTTTAGAATACTGGAAGAATAAAAAACACATGATGCATATTCAAACATTTTTAAAGACATTAGTGATTCTTAGATCAATAATGTTATGTTAACGTCCCACGATGCATGCACATATTTTTTTTAAAACAAAATCTTAAATAATATTAAAGGAGGAACCATAATTTACTACAGCGCCGATGACGCGACTTATAAAAAATGAAACTGATGAAAATATTAACATTGACTGTCGAATAAAAAT